TAAAAATAGCATCATTAATTGAAAAGTAATTTTTATCTTATATATATATATATATATATATATAGGTCAAAAAAATTTGGAGTGTTTCATATCAACTTAGATTTTGAATTACCACCAAGCTCATTAAAATATATGATTATTTTTTATTTATTTTATAATTACATATCAATCAAAAAAGCAACAAGAACTATTAGATGATATATCAAAGAGATCATACCTTGCTCCAAAGGTTGGAAAACTAGCATTTAATCTGTAATATACTACTTTCTTGATGCTAGAATAATTTTTTTTTTGTGCTATCTCTATGATTATATCTGTTAATTAAAGTTTTTTTGAAAAAAATTGTATAGCGTCAAATAGAAACCTATTAGTTTATAATATCAAGCAACGCCCTAATAATGACAAGTTCAAGTTTGTGGAAGATATTTTATATTTTGAAGATTGTTTATATATTCTAGAAGAACCAATGCAACTTTGTGTTTTTTAATCTCGTCATGATTTTTTTAATTATACAATATTTTAAATTTAACAAAACATTGAAGCTTATTTCTTGAGATTTTTTGTGGCCTCAAATGTGAAAGTTTATGAAGGATATTTTTTTTTATATGACATCTATTTAAATTTCAAGAATTCATAATATTATCCTTATGAACTTTTATAGCCACTATCAATCTTAAAGTAACAATGGTTTTCAATAGTAATGGATTTCATCACTAATCTACTACCATTAGCTAAATTTTATGTTTTCTATATTATTGTGGATTGACTTACAAAGATGGTATATTTTTTCTTTTGCAGTAAGATAATTTTTAGAAAAAAAATACTAAGGCTCTTTTTTGATAATATATATCAATATCATTACCTACCAAATGACATCATTTTTGATTGAGGACCTTAATTTATATCAATTTTTTTTTTTTTTTTTTTTTTTTTTTGAGATATTAAAGGTAGATATTATACTTTGTTCTATCTTCCATCTTCAAAAAAATGGTAAAAGAAAAAAAATTAATCATGTTTAGGAGTAGTATTTGTAATGTACCATCAATTATTAAAAAGATGATTGGATTTCCTATTTATCTTTAGAAAATTTTACTTATAATAATATTCTTCATGCTTTACCTCAACAATATAATTTTATTCCAATTATTGTTACAATCTAAAGATTGATTTTTTAAATACATTAAAGGATAAAAATCCAATAGCTAAAGATCTTGCAAAATAATTGTCACAACTCCAAACAACTTTGAAGCTTTATTTACAAGTAGCTCAAGATTCTTATAAAACATCTTTATATGAATTTAAGAAAGAATTCCTTATTTTTTAAGTTGGAGATAAAGTATGGCTTCTTCAAAAAAATATCAAGACCAATCAGCCTTATAATAAGTTAGACTACTAAAGATTGGACCATTTTGTATTTAAAAGCAAATCAATCTAGTAGCTTATTGATTGGAACTACATACATCCATGAAGGTACATCAAGTCTTTCATATTTCTCTCTTAAAAGCTTATTCACAATCAACTATTATAGAAAGAAAAAAAACCATCATTACTCTGCATTGAAATAGATAATCATGTGAAATATGAGGTGAAAAATATCCTTCATTCTTGATGAAAAAGAAGTAAGTTGGAATATTTTATTCATTGGCGTAGCTATAATATCAATAAGTATATGTGAGAATGAGCAAAAAACCTAATTATTGTGTCACAAAAGATACAAAAGTTTCATCAATGCTATCTTCAAAAATCTAAACCTATTTTAGAATGACTTTTCTAAGAAGTTATTACTAAGATGTTGTATATAATAAAGAAAGTAGATACAAAATTAATGCTCCTTGTTGGACTCGAAGTTAAAAGAAGAAGTAATATTATAGATATTTAATAAGAAGATTTTAAGAATATTCTATTAGTTTCTAAAAGATTTTAAAAGATACTTAGAAGATTTTTAAGAGATTTTTAAAAATTCTTAGAATATTCTAATAAGTTCTAAAAATTTCTAAAAAGATTAAAAAAGTTTCTTAAGAAGTTTCTTTAGATTGTTGTATCTTCAAGCAACATGGAAACTTCTAAAAGAGCTTCTTAATGTTGCTTCATCTTCAAGAAATATAGAATTTTTTTAAAATGCTTCTTAATACCTAATATATATTTGAATCAAGGTTGAAGATATTCTCAATCTTAATAACTCATCTCTTAGAGCTCTAACTCACCTCTCTTGATATTGATCTTGTACTCATTAGATTTAATAAAATTTTTTTTATTTTTTTTATTGAAACTTTTCTGTTCAACTTCTTATTTAGTCTCTTATATAGTGTATCTATAACAAATATTATGACAAAATAATCATATCTTATTGACTGCATTGAATTGTAACTATTCTTTGCAATAGAAATCTCTTTTATTTTATTTTATTTTATTTTTAAGCTTGCTTTAATTACACCTTTATTCTTATATGTAGCTTTGTATCAAGGACATGAATCTCAAAGAAAGAAATCTTCAATACACTCTTATGTCAATCGAAAGATCTAAAAAATCACTCAAAGATGATATAGTATTAAATTGGAATAGCTATTGTAAAAAGACTATAAAGTCTAAAAACTATTATAAAAAGACTATAAATAGCTATTATAAAAAGACTATAAAGTCTAAAAACGAGACTGAGGATTAGAAAGGCATTGACAAGAGTAAAAAATGCTTCATTCTTATCTCCATATATTGTCTTAATTAGAAGCTATGTAGCAATATCTTATAAGATCTCTAAAACATGTTGACTTTGCTAGACATATATTTTAATTTGCAAGGCAATTTTTTTGAATGTAGGCCACATAATTAACTTGTTCCTCAAGCTGTCAATATGCGGTTAACTTGTTGATCAAGTTTTAAGCCTATCAATCAACTATAAATACATATAAAATCAAAAAAATATTTATGAAGTTTTTAGAAAGCTTTTCTAAAAAAATATTATAAAATAAATTTATTTTTACTTACTTCTATTTAATCATAAAAATAAATATTAGAATATATATATATCCATGATATATATATATATATATATATATATCCATGATATATATATATATATATATATATCCATGATATATATATATATATATATATATATATATATGATTAAATATTAGAATATATATATATATATATATATATATATATATATATCCATCATATATATATATATATATATCCATGATATTATCTTATTTTTTAGGGATGATTTCTACTGAGAGTAGTCATCATATGTTGAAAAAATCTAAGATGTAGTGAATTGTGTTTGCCACATACTCTGATCTTTGTTTTCTTCAAAGATGGGTGATAGGTCCTTTCAACCATTGATAATGTTGTATACTAAGGCATGTAAACTACCTTGTTATTTGATCATTTTTTATCCTTTATTATTTTCTTCAAATAAAATATTTGAAACACCATCAAGAATTTTTTCCACTTCTAATAAAATCACCAAACATTGATAATCTCTTCCAAGGTCATAATACCAAATACATTGTACTTTACTATCTATTTAAAGAAAGACATGTCATTTTTGAGGATCTTTATTTTGATTATGTCATCTTGAAAGTTGTGATAATTGCAATGTCTTATCTAATAAGTCAACAACTAGTAGCTTTTAAGTTGAATCTAATGGTTGTTGATTCTCCATCTTCTTAGCATTACAAATACACAAAAGTTACAAATAAAAGTAGAAGGTAGAATGCTATCTTCTCTAAATCTTGTTTCTTTTATAGCAAAGATTTGCTATTCTTCATCTTGGTTTTGATAGGAGTTGTTGATGAAAAGCTTTAATTATCTTTGCTATATTTGTAAGATTCTTTGTTGACTTCTATATATGTTTATTAATATTATATCAATACCAATGATCAAAATATTTAAATCTATTTTGGCATCACCTTGAATCTAAAACTTCTTCTACATCAAATTCTTAATTATTATCCACTTCTATAGGAGGAGGATGCATTTCTCTTCTTCTTGAAATATTCATTGTTTTATATGGCTTAAAAAGAGATATGTTGTTGAGATAGAGAGAATTTGCCTTAAAAAAGTGATGGACTTTTGGTTGTTATTAATTTCTCAATCAAATCTTAAGATAGAAAAATACCAAGTTTACATATAAAATTATTCCTATAGAGGCAATTACATCAATATATAAGCCCTAAGTACTAAAGATCACCCTAAATATGATAAAAATATTCTAAAACCTTATATATCTTTAAGGTGAAAATTTTCCAAACTTCAATAGTTCACATCTCACGATCAAACCATTCAAACAAACTAAATTTTTATATAAAATGCTGATATAACTTGAACAACTACTACAATAAATTTTAGCTGCAAATTTATTATGGATCTTGAGATATTTTTAAAATCCTAACAATGGCTTCAAATCCTTGTTTATATACACTCACATTAAAATTTCTTTATATCTCACAAATTAAAAATTTAAATGCTATAAAAATTAGTATATAGCTTCTTAACCTAATAATTCACACTTTTGAAAATTTTGAGCCAAAAACTCATTTGGAAACTCAAGATATGGCTCCTTCTTGAAGATTAATTAAACAATCATAGAATCAATGTTCTTAAAGAATTTATATATTCTTCTTTTCAAAAACATCCTAGAAATCTTGATACTAGCTAGGAATACCACTTCATGTCTCTCCACCATTAGAAATAGGTATAGCGTATATTGCAAAAGGCAACTCTTTTTTTGCCACATGCATAAAAGCTCTTATTCCTACCAAATTTCTGCAACTTGATTAACTTTATACTTTTAAATACATGTTTTTGATTGTGATCAATACTAACTGTAATTTTGAATGTTTTTCATATTAATACATATATTTTTGTATTCCATATTAAAGCACAAAAACAAGTCTCTAAAGTCTAATAGCAACACAAAATCATCTCTAATGTATTTTGACAAAAACCTTGTTCAAGCAATAAATCTCCACTGTTGAAAGTTATTCCACTTGAGGTCATCAATCAAATGCTTAATCTACCACCATTAAAGCCAAAGCCATATGTCCATGGAAAATCATAAATAGACTGCTATCTTAGATAAAAACTTTGCCCTTTAGCTGTAGTAGAAGAAGGTGCTACTACAAAGGAGAGGGATCAATCTCACAAAATGGATATATGTACAGAATGTTGATAAACGAAGAGGAAAGAAGTTAGAAGAAAAAGTTTTTTGAGAGAAGATTTCAATATGACAAGATGCCACTCCCCAATCTAAAGAACTCATTTCTTCTATACTTCGTGACCCTCTACCTTCAGGAATCGCATACCTTAATATTAATTTGCAAGAGAAATAGCTCTGCAGTAATATACAGCCTAAGCATAAGTTGAGCTCCTATGCATCGAAAGATACTAACGATGCTATCTGTTGAAGCGAGACAAGCGAGCCTGTCTCAGCTCTTCTCTGGACATTGGAGATAGAGACCTGTCCCTCCTAGTGGGCATTAGCGGAGCTGATGGGGCTAAATCGTCAAATTCCGGACTAGCTTCCCCAACTCGATGTGTACCACACATGGCGCAAGCCCCCACAGCTGTTCTGTTATCAAAAGTGCAAGCCTGGCAACGCCACACGAGGGCTTCATTTCGATCGCGGTTTCTTAAAGAACTTGAAGGTGCACTGGTGTCTCTTCTAAATCCAACAGTTCCTCGACCAAACGTGCGACCACTGGATCCCCACAATAACCAGTGGAGACGCCTGATAGGCCACGACAAGGCTCCAAAAATGCTCGGTACAATGCCCCACATGCTGAAGCCTCCAGACACGACTTCAGGAGTATTCATATAAATAACACCCGCCAAGATGCCGCATAGGTGTCCAAGAAAGGAAGTTCCAGGAACAAACATCTGAATAACTAGAAGCTCCACCCAAGCAGCGTAGCGGGAGGGCACAAGGATTCCATACACGTTGGTGTGGCTCGGAGAATTATAATTAAGAACTACCTTCAATGCAAATAAAACACCTGAGAACCCCACAGCACATTCTGAATAAAATGAGGTCGGAGAGTCTGCTAAAAATGCGAGGAGTGATGAAGACGCTACTACAAGGCTAGAGGAGAGACCAAGTAGTACTGCCAACAATCCTGCGAATTTTTGACTTCCCATTGAACCCTCCAATTGAACGCCTTTCCACATTAGGGAGATCATGTTGTAGACGAGATGTGTTTCGTCGACATGATAAAATGCGGACAAAAACAGCCGCTTCAAGTCCCAGTCCTGAACTCAGATAACAACATTCATACAACGATCATTGAAAATTCATCCAAAATAACCATCAGAACCTAATTGCAAATTAAATGGACTTAATTGATTAACAACCTACTCTGCTTTGAATCTCTCTAAGACCCGAACATTGTAACCAAGTGATACTCCAAATATGAAGTACTAGACTCCCTTCTACACTCTAAATGGTGATCATGTCTACGACTACAACGTATCGAAAAGTCTCTGCAACAATTTGTTGACGTATTTAATGCCAGAGTTAAAAGATGAAAAATACATGAGTTACAAACCGTGTGCTTGAAATCCTGAACACCAGTACATGAGAAAGTAAATTAGAAATGACAAAAGACAGCTCCTCATAAATTTTGTTTACAACGAAGCCCAAAAATATAACGAGGATAGGACCAAGTTCACTCACCTTGATAACAAAATATGGATTAAGGCATACTTCAGACAACGTGGGGAGTGCATCATCAAGCTTTCCAGGCCGTAAGTGGATTAAGGTCTGCACAGCTATGAGCGCTGCCGTTACTGGAGGCTTCCTCGGCAATTGCATGAAAGTCGAGGCAGCATGCATCGCTAGCATGTACAACATGCCATTGCCCTGGATTCGTGGCCGCCGACTCGGCATCCTTGTAGCAACTTCTATGCAAGAAATCCTCTATCACAGAGCTATCTAATTGATCCTTCGCTTCCTACGCTTCTGCGTAAATTGTCCCAAAACCAACACTAAAAACTCAATCCAAAAGCTAAAATTTAAAAAAGAAGAAGAAAAAAAAAAAACAGAAAAGAAAACAGGATAACCACTTCTCTCCAAAGCCCTAGAAGCTCTGTATCATGTGCAATAGAATATCACATGGCACAGTCACAATTGTTAATCGCCAGCATATGAACCCTGTCTTCGTCAAAATTTAAGAGGTTTCAGTCATTGAATTGAAGAAGAAGACTCCGCATAATCACATACTGATATCTTTCCTTATCGCTCGAAACCGAACATTGAGTTGCCTCTCTGTTCTTTTACCATCAGCATCGAACAGTGAATCCAATCCGTCTTACGACAACTGCCAACCCACTCCGACTTCTTCACCACACAGCGCTCAAACTAAAAACGACAACTCCGCGACAAAATGCGGAAACAAAAACCTCCACGTCTCTCTCTACGCTTGACACTAATGCAAAGAAGCTAAAAGAACCTTCAAACATCTGACCACCTACAATACAATTGCCTAGGACCATGTAATTAGCATTGATTCAGCTAAGCGTAAGCTATTCCGGTGCCCTTCTCTCAATCCAGCACGAAATTGCGAACTACACCTAGATCCAATCTCTTTAAAACAAGGCTCACTACACGTAAAATTCTGGCTCCTACTTCGCACTGGCCTCCTCCATAATTTCATGAAATCCAATTGGCCTGGGAACCGAAGTTGACGAGACTGTGACGTATGTGAAGTGCCCGCCGGAAGCGCGTGACGCAACCTTCGACGACCGCGCGGACGTTCCAGAACTTCACTCCACTGGAATAGGAAGCACCGTCTTTGTCGTCCATTACTGATTGATACCCTCGAGACGAGAGAGGATGTCAATCCAGACACCCGGGGCATGACATCATGGTATATGGGCATATATACCCGGACCAGAACGGATCCAACCAATGGAAGGTCGCCAGCCCTTTGATGCGAGTCGAATGAGCCAAGCCCTAGAATAGAGCGCGGTGCTTCGCATATGAGAGCTCCTTCTCCGTCTATTGAATTCCGTGATTTTGCTCGTGGAAGTGTCTGTTTGTGGATCGATTGCGAGTGCAGGCCGGATCTCCACCTAGTATTTATTAGGGTATGTTTTTCTGGTTTCGATTTTGGTTGATTTTGGCGATTGAATTTGAGTTACCAGGGTTTGAAGGACTTGTGTTCTAATTTGAATGTAATGCGGACGTGTCTCTCTCAATACCAGATAATCTTAGTGTTTCTGATGTTGTGAATGCAGTGTCATAGCTAGGGGCTGCATACGGCATAGTCAGTATGAGCTCTTCAGACAGGGGAGGTATTCAGGCGCTCCTTGCTGCCGAGCAAGATGCTCAACATATTGTGTCCAACGCTCGAGCTGCCAAAACTGCAAGGTGTTTTGAGCCCACTGATACACCCTCTGTTTTTTTCAATTTTGTATTGGTGTCAATCTAGTAGAAGCATTCGGATCGGATCGGTGCTTGGAGTATTTGGTAATGTGATCCTGTTCTCTTGTGAGTTTGTGTTTGTGGTATTTTATTTTATTTTACTTACATGTGGATCCTTTCATGATCCTGGGTTTTTGAATCTATCTGTTGCTGCGGCTGAAGCGCATGTTTCTCCGATCGGAGGAAGATACAGATGACTAGGATTAGTGAGAGGAGGCTCAGCTGTAGTCATGTTCTAAGGAGACATAGGGTATATTGTCGTGTCTTAATCTGCTCCAAATAGTTCTTGTACAAAGGCTCACAAACTTTTAGGCTTAAATGATAAGTTGGGTAATCAGTGAACCAATTCAATCCGCACTTTGCCGCTGTCTTTGATCGATAAGGTTGTTTTGGGATTGGCGCCATTCGCGGCCAGAAACTAGTATGCATGACCACGTCTAACATAAATTCTGTTCAGACTGAGGCAAGCCAAGGAAGAAGCTGAGCGAGAAGTGGCTCAATACAGAGCTCAGCGTGAGGCCGAGTTCAAGAAGAAGCTGTCCGACACCAGCGGTGATTCTGGCGCAAACTTGAAGCGCCTGGAAGGTGAGACGGACGAGAAGATCAAGCGTCTCAGCGGTGAAGCCGCCAAAGTTGCCCCGGAGGTTACTGCTCTCCTGATGAAGTATGTTATCACAGTTAGGAATTAGGGTAGAGCTGTGACTAATTACAGTTCTTGGCCTTTTCCTTCGGAAGGGAGACGATGCAGAAGTGTATGATTTTTTGAAGCAGACTGGTGTATTGTTTGTGTAAATAACAGTGCTGTCTTGTATGCGCTGGAATCATATTTCATTGTCGGGATCGGTATCACTTTTGAGAGATTCCTGGTTTGTGTATCTCCAAGGTTCAAGCGAAGTTTTTCGAGCACTTCGTGCTGATGGAAGAAACTCGAATCGCTGTCTCTTAGAGGTGGTTGTGTTCTTTTGCAAGTTTTTAGGGGTATTTCGATGAACAAGCTCAAAGGGTTTTGGATTATCAAATTTATGTAGATGTTTAACCTGATGTGAAATGTTTGAAGTTGGCCATGTAGCGAATGGCTTCCCAAACCACTTATTGTTATTGCTACCATAGTTTGCTATTGCCACCACAACCTGCCATCTGTAACTTGTACGTGCTTTGAGAAGGTAATACAAAAACAATAATTTATTCACCTTCGTAAGATTACAGAAAAAGTAGGTTGTTCTGTGTGAAAGGGAAAAGCTGCCGAAACATATATATTAAAACAGAAAGAAATCAACAGTCTTTTTCTGTAATACAAAAATGCATGTATATATATATATATGTATATATATATATATATATATATATCATCAAACAAAACGCCTGTAATAAAAAACATTTGAGGAACAGGAAAATACTAGTATTTCAGCATTGCGTTCCAGAATTCAAGTGCTGTTCAAAATACAATTCTACTGTATCTACGTATTTATGTTATGAATCATTCATTCATCTTTAAATGCGTTCAATTCAGAGACAAATGATCTGTACGAGAATACTTAATTATTCTGTTTCTATGAAATTATCAACAATTCAACTGAGATAATCAAGATTTCATTACATTTTAGGGATTCCAATATTTCACACTACAATGTACTGCTGAAACACTTCGTACAATAACATTCATATCTAGCTCATACGAGGAATGTAAAACTATTACAACTAATCCTCAAAAATAAATTTCTATGTTTTACTAACAAAAGGAATTTATTTCATCTTCTACAACAGTTGCAACACTTTTAGTATACGTTCTCAAAACTAATGAACTGAAATATTCATTACCGAGAAAGAAAATTTATTTCATCTTGATCTTGAAATGTCATAAATGATCCAGGTTTTCTTTCAAATAAAATCTTCAAATTTTTTTTAAAAAATTGCACTTACATTTTAGTTATTTCCATACAGCTTTAATCCTAATATCTCTAGTTCTTGCTTTCTTTACTTCTTACTTTCACAATTAGCACTACCTTTTTAAAAAGAGATGTTCTAATGCCACAGACAATTTGACTACTGCCACAGATCACAGCACACCCACCCACTTACTTCTAACTCACACACATACACCACTTTCAAAGTAAAGGAAAAACTACAAACAAATACCAATTCTAGTGACTCCAAAAACGTGAGTACCTGCTTGGAAACGTGGCAGAGCAGTCCAGGAGGGTGTACCACATAGAAACCACGCTTTTTTTGGAGTTTGGTTGGAATTACTTCTGTTAACCTTCCTTCTCTCATTTATTTTGACAGCCTTGCATGCTCTTTCTTTTTTTTCTTTTTTTTTTTTTTTTTTGGACCTTGGCACGTTTTTTGAAAGCCGTGATCTCTCTTTTTTTTTGAAAGGCACATGCTCTCTTTTTTTTCTTTATCTATATATATATATATATATATATAGATCGCAATGCCCTTGTCAACAACATAAGCGACATCCCAATAGAGAGTGAAGGCACCTTGCATGAAAGCTTTAATGGAAAGATGAGCATATCAAATACATCAATCATTGTACTTTTGCATGCAAAGTTTGCAGTAAAACTATGAGTCTTGGAACAATGTATCAATCAACTTATGGAACTTCTTCAAAAGCAAGATGGAGTCTCTTTGCTGGTGCCCACATTATTGCCTTTATAGGAGATTGTTTACAATCCACTAATGGTGTATCCAAGCCAAAAGATTGTCAGTCATCTTGAGTTGGAGGGCAATGTTTGTGCACTAGAAGAATGCAACAAGAAACAAGATGAATACCATATGCATTATCATGTAAAGAATTTACTTCTTACCAAATAATGAAGAAGATATTTAAGAAATTTGCTATTGCTTAAGATTATAGAACTATCACGAAGACATTGTATAAGTAGCATAATGGCCATTATATGGTCCATTACAAATATAATTGTAGAAGAATGTATGGCAACTATCATAGCTTGATAAAAGAGATAAGAACTCGGAAAACCTTAGGTATGATGTCAAATTGCTTCTTCAACATGATCACAAAGCAATATGAGCAACATTGGTTTTTTTAGGTCATACAAAGAGATCACAATCATAATTTGTCAACAAATGCAAGTGCACACCTTGTCCATCTTAAGGTCAAAGATCAAAAAGAAAAGACTATTGTTAGCTTCTATAATGTGGGAGTTCCAACCAAGCACATACAAATGTACTTGCAAAATTCCTACAACTCAATTGTAATAGCAAGCTACCAAAAAAATTTGTTGTTGATAAAGAATTGGCATTGATATCAAGTATCCAGAACTAGTTTTCAATTGCTAAAATTCTGTTGTGTATCTACAACATTGAGAAGAATGTATTATAAAAGAGCAAGCTATTGTTTATTGGAAATGATTGGATTGCTTTTATAAAAGAATAGAAGATAATTGTACATTCTAAAATATAAGTTATTATTAATAAATAATACGAGATCTTCAAAGAAGAAAATAATAATATCATTTTTAAATATCTTGATGTCACGGCCATAATCATGTAAGCTAATAATTACATATACAAATAGATAGAAGTAAGTAAAAGTAGATAAAAGTAAGTTAATTCTATTATATTTAATATGAAAGCTTCTTAAAAGCTTCTTAGACGCAACTTTGACTTCATAGGTGTCTTTAATTGACTTTTTGGATTAGAAACGTGGTCAATAAGTTGGCCATGTGCCACACATGTTGTTAGCTTAAAGATCAAGCTAACTATGTGGCCCACACGTAAAAAAACTTGCTTTGTAAGTCAAGGCATATGTCCTACAAAGTCAACACATATTAGAGGTCCTATAGAACGTCGCCACGTAGCCCCTAGTTAGATAGTATATATAGAAACAAGAGTGAAGGCTTCTTCACTCTTGTCAACTCCTTTCTTGCTTCTAGTTTAGTTTCAAGGGTCTCTAGTTTTCTTGTCTTTTGGCAATAGCCATTCCAGTTTCTATTTCAATATATATACTTGTTTATAAATATTTTGTTATCTCTCTTTGAGTGAAGGCTCACTTGTCTCAATTGTTTTTTCATCGAGTTCTTATCCTTGACAGATTCACAAGAGTACACCTACAATATCAGAGCTTTGTCTAATCTTGATTAAGAGTGGATTACCCCTTTTTCTTAATAAGATATAAGCATATTAGAAGTTGCGGATTACCTTCTTCTAAACTGATAATGTCCTTATCATTTTCTTTGTCCTCAAGTCCTTTCTTCTATTTGTCTTGAGCGATATTAGACATCTTCTCTCTTCTAAGTGTTATCATAGCAGAACTTCTCGAAATGAAGAGTGCAATGGCACAAATGCAAGAATAATTGAGGGAATTAATGCTTGCGATGCATCAACTCAATTTACCACCACAAGGAGCAACAAGATTGGCAAGAAGTGAAGATATAGAAATGGTTGGAGTTGCTTCAACATCTGCACCAAACCATGTCCTTTTTCCTATGGTAGAACGCCCTTCAAATGTTAGAGAACCAAGAATTGTCATACCCGAGAAGTTTGATGGCACCAGATCCAAGTTTCAAGGATTTATCAATCAAGTGCAATTGGTGATTGAACTTCAATCCCAAAGCTATCCAACTCTAGGATCACAAGTTAGATTCATTGGTACACTTCTTTCAGGTTCAGCACTATCGTGGTTTTCATCTTTTCTTGAACGACGAGATCCAATATTGGATAATCTAGAGGCTTTTTTGGCGGAGTTTTGATCCATGTATGGAGAGCATGATGCAATTCGGGTTGCAACCAATAAGATCCATATTTTACGACAAGGCAATCAATTAGTAACGTTATACGCTTCACAATTTTGACAACTTGCAACTGATATCAAGTGGGATGATGTTGCACTTATTAGCCAATTTTTCTACAGATTACAATATGAGGTAAAAAAATTAATGCTCAACTTACTTGATCCTCAAACATTGAGTCAAGCAATTGACTTTGCTATGAAGTGTGACAATTACCTTTTTGAATTTTGATCTGAGAACCGTACAAGTGGACCTCAACGTTACTATAATTCAATGGCAACACCAACATCTCTTCAACACATACATTCGGAAGTAGAGGATATATAAATTGATGCAGTACGTTTCAAACCTCTTACTGAGCAAGAAAAGACTCGTCGTCGTCAAGAAGGATTATGTTTATATTATGGAGAACCAAAGCACACTACGCAACATTGTCCAAAGAAATGACGCAATCACAAAATGAGGAGTATGGCTGTGAAAAAAGACAATATGTCAGAAAACGAGTTTGTCCAGCTACAATAGGGACCGTGCGACTGGAACCTTGCACAACATCTAGTAAAGGTCCTATTCTCTCCTCAGAGCCCTCTCCTTGTTTTACATTAAATGTTATTTTAGACCTAAATATTACAAAGTCTCTGCCTTGTTAGATTCAGGAGCCTCAGCGTGTTTTTTAGATGAAGAATTTATTAAAAGACATAGCATATCTTTAGTAAAGAAAACTAAACCTGTTCATGTAGAAGTCATAGATGGTCGTCCATTGTCTTTTGGAGATATTACTCACGAAATCCTTCCTATAGAAGTAATAATCAATGGTCATAATAGTTTTGTAGTATTTAATATTATTAGATCTCCTTGTAATCCAGTCATTTTAGCTTTATCGTGGTTAGAAAAATACAACCCTCAAATAGGTTGGATTTCTCGAACTCTTACTTTTTCTAAAAGTATAACTAATAGTGTAGTTAATCAAGTAGAGAGTCATAAGTCCAGTTCAATTAAACCCGTATTTATAGGTACAAAAGCTTTTTTGCATGCTGCTATGAAAGAATCATCATATATTATTTATGCTACACCCATTTCTACTGGTGAAAAGACTTTAAGTGGCATTCCAAGCCAATATCAAGAATTTCAAGATGTATTTGAAAAAAAAAATGCAGATACACTCCTGGAACATCGTCCCTATGATTGCTCAATTGACCTTCAAGAAAGAGCACAACCGCCATTCGGACCAATCTATAGTTTATCACAAAATGAGTTGGCTGAACTCAAGGAGTATATAGAAGAAAATCTAGCCAAGAATTTCATACGCCATTCTAAATCTCCAACAGGACCTCTAATTCTATTTGTGAAGAGAAAAGATGGATCATTGAGGATGTGTGTTGATTATCGAGGACTCAACAAGATTACCATCAAAAACAAGTATCTACTACCTTTAATA